GAACCCTCCGCTGCTGTCGCTGGAGATATAAATGATGATAAATGCCGTGTGTAGTGGAATTAAGTTCAATTTAAAGGGTATTTAGGGATCAGCAGCACATCCAGCGACCATCTATCGATCGATCGCTGCGGCTTACAGTCTGCAGAGCAGGGAGTGGAGGGGCACAAAAAAGGTAAACTCCTTTTTTTTTTTTTGTTATTGGGAGTGACGAAAGATCATGTCCATTAGGTCGTCTGCAGCAGCCGCCAGTGCCAGACACAAAAAGGGCCACGGAACGGTGGCCGTTCCTCGATCCGTTCCACATTTGATGCGAGAGAGATTGATATGTTTGGTTTTCAGTGGGCCCCCGAGAGAAAAGAGAGACGATCACCGTTCAGCGATCAGCGATCATAATGCACTGATTATAGTTGTGTGGTTTTTAATATTCATGTCGATTATGAGGCAAGATCAGAGTCGGATAGTGATATTTGTTTGATGAATTTATTGCCTCAGTGATCATCGAACGGCGATCACCGATCAGCAGATCTCCAGATCATCGCTCGGCGGTGTTTTGTTTTATCCGCGGCATTTCTTTAATGGCTTTTTAGGTATGCTATTGGATTGGTATTGGTATGGGTATGGGTTTGGGTTTAGAGCCTCGTAAAATGCACAATTTAACGGTGTGCGGCATGGAGTGTGCTATAGTTATGAGTCTGGGCTCTGTTCCCCTTTATTATCTCACCGATAATCTTGCTTCTATGTGGCATGTGGTGGGTTTTATTGATTAGAACATGAATCGACGGGTGCAGGCACACCAAAAACACAAAAAGGGAGTTAACTGATAAAGAAAGGTCCAAAAGAAAAGGAGTAGAACAAGGAAATGAAACTGGGAGGGGGAATTGGGGTGACAAATTGATTCTCAGCTGCTTCTCAGATTTATTCCCACGCAAAACCAGATTCCCAGAACTTTTGATTTCTATGGGATTCAGTGGCTGCCCTGGAGAACACCTTCCCCTTCCCCTTTTTGGCTTTTCTTCTTTTTCTTCAGGTCGAAGGTTGAAGTGCGTAATTGCTGACAACGCAAGCAGCTCCTTCTTTGCAGCAGCAGCAGCACCAGCAACAGATGAAGATCAAAACGCTCTCCCATCGCTCATTACCAATCGAAGAGAAGCAAAACCCTAGAGCTGAAAGAAAGTCTCTGGGGGCTTTGAAGACGAGCCGAAGCCGAAGCCTCAAACATCAGAGCAGAGACGTTGAGCCAGAGGCAGAGGCTTCTTTTTCTATTGTTATTCAAATTCGATGAGACACTTGACAGGGGCCGTACGACGTACGGGGTAGAAAAACTACATCAAATTGGCGCTTAAATATTTCCCCGAGCGAGCCCCGAAACTGTGGGAAACAATAATATTGAAACAGAGTTCAGGAGTAGGAAAGCGCATTTTCCCTTCTTTCTGGCTTTCTGGCTTCAACTGTAAACTTGGCCAGCGACTGGATTCATTTCGAAACGAATCGAATGGAACGGAATGATGGCCACTTGAGTTTTTGAAGCGTTAAGTGGAAATCAATGGCGATCTACTCCAAGTCTCAGCCGCATTCTCCCTCTTTTTCTTTCTCCAACGAAACATCGAACGAAGCAATTGACCAAAAACTGTCGATCTGCCCTCTCTCTCTCTCTCTGTCTCTGGCTCTGTTCTTCGTTTGGACTGACGATCGGCAAGCGGTACACTTGTTCAGCTTTGTTGTTGACCATGTTTTCTTAACCGTTTCCCTTCACTCCTCTCTTCACCACTCCTCTCCTCTCCTCACCACCACACTCCGCTGCTCTGCTGGCCTTCTGCTGGTCGCGCGGTAGGTAAGAATCGAACTCAAATCGAAATCTCTTTGGGAATTTTTCCCTCGTTTTTCTGCTGACGTTTGTTGTCGTCTCGTCGTCCGCGTCGTCGGCGTCTCTTGGAAATTTGTTTGTGCTGGACAGCGGAAATGCATTTATTTGCTGACGTCTTGGACTGCAGTGGACTGTGGACAGTGGACAGTAGACAGTGCTGTGCTGCAGATGAAGAGGGGCCGGGGCCCCCGCTCTTCACCAGGGGCGTTAATTGATGAATCTGCGCGCCGAGGCAGTGGTTCAATGACTATCCCCTATAACAACCCCCCCGCCCCCCCACCAGAAACCCTTTCCCTACTCTCTTTACGAATGGTGCTATTTCTTGGAATCTCTTTCACGGCATGATTTCCTTTCGAAGTCGAACTTTCTGTTGGAGGTTTTCCATATTATATTTTCGGGTTTCTTTTTCTGTTGCCCCCTTCACATTCCCTGCCCATTCCCAACCCATTCCTCTGGGGTTTTCATGTTAAACACATCTATTTATACTTTAATGATGTTTGTAATGATGGTGCTAAATATTTCCCACATTATTAGCACCTCTTCGTCGTCTGGGGCTCTAAACTCTGGGAAATACTCGTAGCACGGAGTTGGTCCAGTCATTGAGGGATTCATCTGGACACAGCATCGCAGAAAGTAGCATCGAAGAGGTAGAGAAACGATTATAGGTAGGTATAACTGTGTGTGGCAGGCAGTGCATCTGGTATTTAATGATTCCATATTTTGTGGCACGGATCACAGCAGTTTAAGAATTGGAGATTTAATCTCCAGCAATATCTGGCACTCAGTTATAGAGACATATCACAGCACATTGCAGTCGGCATTCCGTGTCGCCTCCGCACCTCTGATTGATCGCTGGCGCTGCAGCCCTCAACGATGCCGAACAATGCTAAACATTTTTAATGAAGTACAAGGCAAACACAAGCCGCGGGCTCGCTCCTCCAGTGCGGCGCGCCGCTTCTAACTTCTAAGAGGGCGAAGTGGAGAAGAGTCCCAAAAAGGGCCAAATGATCGCTGGGGCCCTGGGATAGCGACTGGCACTTGGCTCTCGTTCATATTTGATCGGGAAATTAACGGTTTCGTTACTTGTTACATGAGCAATGGCATCCCATGGGTTTAGGGTTAGGTGTTGATTGGGCAACGCCCTGGACACCGCCGCAGTGGCAGTACCAGTGGCAGGGGCAGGGGGAGACAAAGGGGAGAGAGCCTGCAACTGCAACTGATTGCGTTCTCAAATTTATGGCCGCACATGATGAGCTATAAAATGTTTTATGGCCCCCGAGTCCTAGCCCTGCGGCAGGCAGCCCATAGGTGCTTCCACCCTGCCACCATCCCAAAACAGAACCCAACAGAATCTCATTCCCATCATCCATCCCATCCCATTCGATCCGATACGATACGATCCCAGCCACAATCCACCTCAACAATTTTCTCCTTCTGCATGTTGGTTTTTCTGAAATTAAATCATGTGATTTATTGACGTGTTGCCCGCTTCTGTTTCCCGGCGATTTCTCTGTGTGTTTCTGTGTGTATTTGTGGAAAATGGGAAAATGTTGTGGTTTCCTCTTCTTCTGTTGGGGTGGTGAAAGTTCCCTTTAGACCCCCTCCCCCCATAGACCCTTCTTCTCCCACAAAATTGATTGAGATGTCAAGATTCATTAGCAGAAGCGAGAAGCAGCATCAGCAGCAGCAGCAGGCGAATCATCGGAGGGTAGCATTTCCCTTTTGATTATTTTCCAGCTAACTCGGGACTCGGCTAACCATCATTTCCACCCATAAATTTCCAAATTTCAATGGGAAATTCCCACCAAAACAAGTGATGTCCAGTCCCGCATCCGAATCCCAAACAGCAGCTTAGTTTTGGTGAGGATAATCCCCAGAGCTGAGGACTACCTGAGCTTAGTCATGCAAATGAATGAAGCTGTTGTCGAGGATATGCCTCAGGGTCGTCGTGGCCAAGAAGGCGTGCAAATTGACAATAGAACTTTTCGCACATTAGGCCTTAAGTGGGGTGTCTCTCTACGTTTTTTTCTTTTCTTTTTTCTGGCTCACCAGCTGGAAATTTTCACGCGCACTCGCAACAAACAATAATGTTTTTGCACCTGTTGTTCAGCATTTTCGCCTGAACCCTGAACCCTCAACTCTCAACCCTGAATCCCGGCTCGTCCTTTGTCCCCTGCCGCACCGTTATCCTGCTGGGTGGCTGCATAGCTCGTGCTGGTCCTCGACCCTCGGGCCTGCAGCTGCAGCCTCTCCTCTAATTGGCCATGGCCAAGCGCAGAGCTCTTCTTGGTTATTTTGTTTTTTTTTTTTGTTTTTCGTGGACATTCGGCCGAGTGAAAGTTGGCCCGAAGCGTTGCAAATTTGTATGATTTTCTTTTTGTTTCTCTTCTGGTTTTTTGTTTCCTTCTTTTTTTTTTGGTAGTTTTTGCAATAAATTATGCATTTTATGTGCCACAAAAGAGCTGCACAAACGTATTGGTTGTGGAAACATATCTTGAATAACAGATACCATTGCAGAACTATGTAACTATTGCTGAAGATCTAAAGATCTGGAACATAGAATGGGAGAAAGAATCGCTGCTAATATTCTTCCTTTAGGAAACTTGTTAATTCAGCGAAAAATCTTTCAATTTGTTGGTATACCATCCCTGTCTATTATTCCAGCTCTTGGTGTAATTCCTGAAATTCCTGAAGACATGCTCTCTTTATCTCTTTATATCTCCCATCTTCATTAGCATGCCAGCACCAATTGTTGTGGAATTTCTTTGCGTTTGAATGACAGTTGAGAAGACATTATTAATAGCTCAACACCCGAAAAAGTATCTCGTATCTGACAATTGCACTTGTTGTGGTTGCAATCGCTGGTGTAAGAGAGTCAAGTGGTCCCATTGCCATTGTGATGTAAATTAAAGCATTAAACGAACAATAACAAAAATCTACTCGTACTGTAAAAATTGTTAAAATATTTTGTGTAAAGAAAGAAATTGTGAAGGCATTTCCTGCAGACGAGACGTGTCTCGATAAACAAAAATAGTAGCAGAAAAGGCAGGCGGTGGCACTTGAGGATGTGTGGCGCGCGGAGCAGGGCATGCCATGATGTTAAGTAGTAAATTTATTGCAATCGGAATATACTTACGTATCTGTGAAATGTCTGTCACTGAGACTGTTCCTGCCGCAGCTAGGTGTATGGCTTTGTTGTGTGCACACTGTGACATTATTACGTAATCTTCTACTGTACATAATGCACCTGAAATCACCACCTGGAAGAAAAGAGAGAGAGAGAGAGAGAGCGTGAGTGAGCGTGGTATTAGATGCAGTTGGATACACTACTCTACACTATATATGATTCCCCATTCCCATCTAAAATATATGTATGTGTGTGTGTGGTTCCGTTATCGCGCTATCTATGAACAAGCCATCAATATTGTATCTAACAGATACATGGAGCAAAACAAAACAAAACAAAAAACTCAAGGAAGAATAAAAATGAAACCTAAATTGCATAGCAATGTTTACACCTTGTCACGACAAATAAAATTGATGCCCCCCCCGGCCGACAAGCATGTTGTTTGCTCAGCCACTCAGAGGAGTGCTCACTGTACTCCGCTGCACTATTTTTGTGGCGTATATCGGAAGCACATAGCACGTAGCACCCTCCTGCCTGCTACACCCGCGCCACGCCTCGCCGTCTATCAATCGGTAATTTATCATGTTTGATTAGTTGTCTTCATTTGATATATTATTACATTCACATTAATAATCGCGCCATTTGATTTAATGAATTTATTGTTTCGCCTTGCGGCCGTCGCTCACTTCATCCATCCCTCCCTCGGCCCCCCTCTCGGTGTCTGTGGGGTATTATTGTACCAGGTCAGGTTGTAAATCATATCGGAACCCAGATTTACTTGCGATATATATATAGACAGACGACTAAATGCACACTGGCGTGCGTGGAAGGTGAAGTGGGAAGGTTTCGGCCAAACCCCTGTTATTTCCAGCGAGGACAGACATTGGATCGTATATCTTCCAGTAAATCCCAGCTAATTCTCAAGATTTATACACTCACTTATACATTCCAGACTTTTTCTGCTTATCTTTATAGGAAATGTGCAGAAAACTAAAGAATTTACTATAAAAGAAATGTTTCAATTTTTCATTCAAGTTTCGGGGGAAAAACCAAACAGTTTTTATAGAGATTTTCCCAAAAAAAAAAAAATGTGAATGAATTTCGTGCGTCTTCTATCCGAAGAAGTGCCACACCTTATCTTCATTCATAATTTCATCAGCCCACGAAAAAGAAACCCTTTCTGTGCGGGGCCTTGTGACGCTTTATTTATTAGAACTCTGTCGATAATTACAAAATAATGCGTTTTGCCCCACCACACATCAGCCCCGCCATCACCCACCCCCTTTGTCTGCCCCGTGCACCACTTCACTTTGCCACCACCCTGCCTCCTGCCACCCACCGCAAGTATCTTTAACCAACTTTGAGCAAAAGCGGAGGAGGGGCAAAACGCTTGGGAAAATACTCGAAACGAGGTTACACGGAGCATAAATTCATGGCGAAGAAGTGGGCGATATCATTGCTTTGTAGAGTGTGCGCCTTGATAAGATTCCAAAGAGCTTCTCTGGGTTTGGGTTTGGGTTTGGGGTACGGTCTCCGTACGGTTCTGTTCCTCTTTGAGTCCAACGTTTGCTACCAACTTGAACCCAGAGGGGGGCTGGTGTGGTTCTGTCAAGTGTTGTGCGATTGAGGAAGTGTTTGGCTTGTAAGTTTCATTGTAACTTGGCTAATTAGCACGGGCCAATACCCATACCCATACCCATACCCGTGCGTGAGATATAGAATGAGGCTGTGACTGTGGCTTCCATCGGGGAGGGAGCCTTGAGCCTACCATTATTATTGTTACTATTGTTTTATGGGGCTGTAAGGTAATACTCAATACTCACAATAAAAAACAGCAGTCTCTCTAACTGATTCGACATTCATTCGGCGATTAATGTACATAATTTTAACCCATTTACTGCCAGACGGGAGCAGTAAACTAATGCTTCAATAAGTGGGTGGGTGCTTGGGCGATAAGTGAGCGGTGGCAGTTAATTGATTGGGATGACATTGGGCGTCGTAATCCCCATGTAATCGCTCTTCACTTCACTTGACCGATACGAGGCGGTTAGTACATATGTATGCAGCTCTAGCCCTATCCCGAACACATTTCCTTTGTTGTTTTTGGTGGACACTCCTTGTGGGGGCAGGCACGAGTATTCTTTCGTTCCGTTCCGTTCGCGTTTCGGTTTCACTGGTAAATGCAGCGGCAGTTGTCGTTGTCGGCCCAAATGAAAATGAAATCCATTGCAGGGGCACAAACACACACACACAAGCAAACACACGCACAGAAACACACAGAGGCACGGCACAGAGAACGATATACTGAAACACACACGCGATGTACTTCCGCTTCCGCTGCGACAATAAATTTTTGTTGTGTTAAACTTTTATATATATATTTTTTTTGTATTTAATTTTTTTTTGCACCCTGTGGCACGTAACTTGGAATGGGTCTCCCGTTAAACGTTGAGGGTATTCGTTGGAGTATTCGCTGGGGTATTCGCTGCTTGAGTATTCGTATTCGTAATCGTAACTGAATCGCGTAACGGCATAAGACGTAAAGCACACACGGGGCACACAAGGCAGACACAACGTTGAACGTCGATTGAATTATCGAGACTAAACCGAAGCGAAACGTGCGACATTTTTGGTTTTGTGTTTTTCTTCCTTACCACACGGCCAACAGCAGCAGCGCCAGCAGCAGCAGCAGCAGCAGCGGTGGCAACAGCAACATCAACAGCGGAGGCAACATTAGCAGCAACATCCAGTCCACACACACACACACAGCGCGGCCAAAGCAACAACAGTTTGAAAAGTTTCGTCTCTCACTTTTTGTGTGTCGTGTCTCTGTGTGTGTGAGTGCGGGTGTGTGTGTGTAGCGGCCATTACTGCTGCCGCCTGCAGCTCTGCAGTGCGATATTTATAGCATGCGAGAAAAAGCGAAGCGCCAACAGAGCCAACAGCTGTTGCCGTTCGAACCTGTTGTCTGTCTCTGTTGTGTGAGTGCTGTTAGCAGGGGTGCTTCTGTTAATAACAGAGGTTCGATGCAGCAGCTGTTGGAATTTGAAGCATCTAATCTAAGCTTTGCATTCAATGTGTAGCGAATAACACTGGCTTTATATCTGTATCTGTAAGAGGATATGTTAGTGAATATTCTTTTGCGTTTGAATATAGGGTATTACGGTGCGGGAACCACATCTTTCGATCGATAAATATATAATTGCATGCATGTCCATCACAGCTCTAATTAGTTGTCCATAATTAGTTTAGCCCACTAATTAGTACGCCTAATTGAATTAACTGACCTCTTAGATGCATCCCATTGTCCTGGCACTTGTGCTTTGGCTGTTGAACATGTCGCCACTCAAAGTTTCACTGTGGATTCCACTCCTAGGCGTGCTTGCAGCACAGCCAGGTGACATCTTTATCCGCCAGTTGACCCACGAGCTGTGCATCAGAACCCACATTTACTATGGCCTCTCGGGGGAGAACTTTGAGGGATTACCCATTCGGAGCAATCAACCAAAGATGCTGCTGCAGGGAAACAACACCAGCGAGCAGCTAAAGACACATCACGATGCTCCAGTGCTCATCATAACTCCACTGGCCAGCGATTTGGATGTCAACTTGGCAGCTGTGAGGGTGCTCCAAATGTATCTCAAGGATAGGCAGTTGACTGACATATTGCTAATGGATGTGGATGTGGACGGGGATACCCAGAGCAAAGTCAGCTATGAAGACATTTTCAAAGTCTTTTGGGATGCAGGATTTCCCCATGTTCTTCTTTTCTCCGGTGAGGATCAACTCTGGTCAATGAAACCCTTTCCACGGCTCAAACTGACCCGCACAACTCTGCAGGACTATCTGTCCGAGCGAAACAGCAAGGATCTGATGGGTGTTCCTCTGCGGGTCCTCGTCACCAATGATCCACCGCATTCGTTTGTGAACGAAGCAAAGTCCGTGGCATCCGCAGGCCGCTACCAGGGCAGCATCATCAACATCTTCAAGCTGTTTGCCACACACTTGAATGCCACCTTCGAGGCGGTGCCGTTTCCCGGACTGAGACGCTACCGCACGGCCGAGTGCCTCAGTCTGGTGATGTCCAATGAGGCGGACGCCTGTGGCAGCATTTTTTTGATGACCTTCCGCTACCCCACCAGCCAGCCGGTGCGTCTGAATCGCGTGGCCATCATGGCGCCCTTTGGCAATCCCATCGCGAAGTTCCACTACTTCTTTCGACCCTTCGACCCCTACGTCTGGCTGTGGACGGGCCTCAGTGTGGCCTACATCGCACTGCTGGGGGCACTGCTCCATCGTTGGCGCTTTGGCCGCTGGGATGTGGGCCAGTACCTCCTGCTGGCCGTCCAGAGTTTGCTGACCCGCAGCCTCACACTGCCGCAGTGCTCGGGTGGCATTCGGCTGCTGCTGCTGCTCCTGCTCTTCGCCACGGGCTTCGTCCTGTCCAGCCTGTACGTCGCCCAGCTATCGATGATGCTCACCACGAAGCTCTACCAGCGGCCCATCGACTCCGTGGCGGACCTGAGGGCCGCCAATGTCAGCATCCTGCTGCAGCAGCACAACGTCAGGCCGAATTCCGTGTACGGCAGCACCGAGGAGCTGCGCGAACGCTTCCTCCTGGTGGAGGAGCCGCTCCACAAGCAGCGACGCGATGGCCTGGATCCCCGCTTTGCCTACGTGGACTCCGAGGACCGCATGGACTTCTATCTCTACCAGCAGAAGTTCCTGCGGCGGCCACGCATGAAGAAGCTCTTCGATCCCGTGGGCTACACCTGGGCCGTGCAGGTAATCCGCCAGAACTGGCCCCTGGAGCGGCTGTACAACGAGCATCTGCAGCGGCTCTTCGAGACGGGGCTGCAGGAGAAGCTCGTGGCCGATGTCCACGAGCTGGCGGTGCGCGCTGGCTTCCTGAGGTTCCTGCCCACCCAGGCCTCTGGCATCGATCCGCTGCGACTCGAGGACATTGTGATGGCGGCCATGGTGCTGGCCGGGGGCCACGCCCTCGCCGGGATCTGCTTCCTGTGCGAATTGCTGCTACATTAATGTGACTCAATCTCAATTAAGGGAACGGCAATAAAGCGGACCCACCCCTTAAAGTGTATCACAATTCTGAGGCGATTAGGGTCACAACAAAGCAAAAGGGACGCATGTGGCATCCGTTGGATAATGGGGCAGTAACAGCAACAGCAGCAGCAGCAGCAGCAGCAGAGGGGAGTGTCCAGAGTGCAGAAGTGTGTCATGTGGGTGGCGTTGTCCTCAGCGGAAGTTGCCGAAAATGCAACTCATTTGATTGAACATTGATTGACAATGTCCCTGAACGGAACGGAACGGAACAGAACAGGAAGCCGTACTGACAATCGATGCCTCTTGCCACTCGGTGCTCGGTGCCCCCATTGTTCGCACAGACAATGGCAATTTCTGTGCCTCGCCTTCTTTGTTGTGTTGCCAAGTCCTTGTAATCCCCAACCCGATTATGGTCCATTGTCAGTGGCCGACGCTGATGCTGATGCTGATGCCTGACGATTGACAGGCACTTGGCGCGATGGTTGATTGCTCGGTGTGGCACAGTCCCTGTGGATGGGATTACCCCGATTGCCGACTCGGCAGCTACTCGTATTTAAGACCATTAAAGTCATGTTCAATTATGGTCAATACGTGGCTGCAGTGACGGACATTCAATTGGAATGGGATTGTAGTGTGCTCAGCATAGGGATTATTTCCATATCTAACGCTCAGTCCAAGGGTCGGTCTGCCACAATTTCATCAGCTGGTCTGACTCATGCCTCATTTTTACTGGTAAGCAATTACTTTACACTTTTACCCAAAAACTGTCTATCAGCCAGTCGGTCAGCCAGCGACTCTGCTGTTGCCAACTGTCGGGGGTAGCGTAGCCGATTTCGATCCTCTTTGCAGCCATAAACACATCTAACGTTTGAACGTTGATCATGTGAGCTTTGTGGAGGTTGAAACTGTGCGAAACTGTTAGCCCTTATCGCTGTGACGTCGCAAGGAATGCGCGACCCAACAGATTGCCACACGATTAGATTTCCCCCAAACCACACTCGATCGAAGCACCTAGACCAATACCATCGAAATATTTAATGTTGTCGCGTTGTCAAGTGATCCAAACTGATGATGGGTGAGTGCTGTTCATTAGCGAAATATTATGGGTGTCAGTGGAAGATTACAAGTTATTGTTATTCTTATTGGAGGGCTAACTTCTGGATGGTAAACCCCCCGGGATAGGGCACCTTATCGGACCAATGTAAGGAATGTTGCTGCTGCGACAGGTGGCGTGGCTGGCCTTCAATAGAGGGTGTCAGTGTCAGCCAGCTTCAAGGCTGATCGTAGGTCAGTCCCAGCCGGGAATCTGCAACACAAATCAATCTTTTTGTTGTTGCTGGCAACCAATCAAGCGTGGAGGGAGTACCGCAAACAAAAACTAATTAATTTTTTTGGCCGCGGCGCTCATCAAACTAATTGGCCAGCAGCGTGGGTGGCCTTTTGGCCAACTTCCACCACAGCCACAGCCGCAGCCAAACTTTAGATTTAATTGCATGCGCCGGTCGCTGAGAACCTGCCAAAGACAAGCATTTAAGAAGACAAAACAAAAAAAAACAGACACACACATGGAAACACTCACCAGCTTACTGTCTGGTTAATGGCTTAAAGCGAGGCTAGACAGAGCTACTAGCCGCAGCCACAGCCGCAGCCACAGGCCACAGCCACAACCACAGCCCCAAGGCAAACCCACTGCAAAACGGTTACTTATTTTTGCCGTTTACCGTTTTGGCCTTTTTGACTCCCCGACATGACAGACAATTCTGCTATTTTGTTTTGTTTTGTTTGTATGCCGCGTTTTTGCTGTTTAATAAACTTAACAATTTAATTTTTGGCATTTTTTGTTGGCATTTTTTGTTTGGTCTTTCGCATTGATTGTCGCGTTGACAGCCTCCCGCCAATTGGCTTTGGCCCCCACTTGAACTCTGTGTCGCAGTCGCTTCCTAATCGCCGGAACGAGGCTCCAACAGACTGTGCCCCCTCTTAAGCGCCGGGCATTTGCTGTCAATCAACGCAGCATTAACCACTCAGCGGGTGGTGCTGCTGCTGCTGGTGCTGGTGCTGGGGTGGCATATCACCCAATCAATAACAATGACTGATTACGATTAAAACTGTTGCCCCGAAGCAGGCTAGCGGGGGGAACACTCCTCGCTTTTTGGCCTTTTGGCGAGCCTCCTCCCAGCGCGGCAGCAGCGCAAGAGAAAACGAAAAGTTGTTTCGGGAAATGAGTCACGCTAATGAGGCTTCCGTGTGGTGTGGCAACAATGACGAGGAAATGGCAGCGACAGCTCCGCAGGTGGCGGATCCAAGAGGTGGAGAGATTGGCCTTCAGGTTGGAGGTCCTTTCACTGACGTACAGAATTAAATGAGATAACTTTGCGATACGATTGTATGGATAAAAGTCGATCCATAAACTCTCTGCTGTTACTGTTCTTTGATTCCAGTGATTGGTTTATTGCCTTTGTAGAAACTTCAGATGACCAAGCATTTTTAATCGGCTCCGCTTATCAGTCAAATGGCGCCGACATTCACACAGATACTGACCATACGTTCGCACGTTGAATGACGCGCAAATCGAAGCGCATTGCAGAGGAGCTCCGCTGGAACTGGCACTGGCACTGGCACTGGAGCTGGAGCTAGGGCAGGTGCTGTCCCACCCAAAACACACTCAGATTTATTGCTACCGAAGCTACCAAAGCCCCAATAAAGATTGGGCGCCCCTCGAAATACCCCTATGAAATCAAAACAAATCGTAAATAAATCGGAATACGAAATTCCTGCAAAAAGATTCCATGACAGAGGACGCGGACGCGGACGCGGACACTCTACGTCTATCCGCTATCGGCTATCGGGCACAACGTCTCCGCTTCAGCGGTGGCATCCGCTTCACTGTGCGTTCAGTTGAGCTTTGCTCCCGAATCGTATATTAGCCAGGTGCACAGCTACGTCCGATAAGACGTAGCAGATACTATTTTTGGGAGCGATCCCGGCTAAGTATTAATGAGCATTAATTGATTTCCCTTTCCCGTGGAGAGGTGCATGATTTATGAGGGTGATGGGGGACAGGATCTTGCGGCTTCCGTCTTTTGGGGCGGGGCACGTGTCGCGGCCATCCGGCAACCACAAAACCCCGAAATTAATCTGAAAAGTACTCGTATTCGACTCATATTTATCCCCCCCCCTACCCCAGCGCACCTTTGGCCAGGCCGGCTAGCCGGATGGGTGCTCTGTTTCGCAGTTTGTAAACAGAAAACCGCAAAGCCAACAAAATATATCCCGCAGCTATAGCCACAGCCATAGCGGCAGCGGGCGGCGCAGCTGCCCCCTGCACCCTGCACCTGGACACGGGCCAGACTTTTGGTATATTTACTCGTGCATATACTCGTATATTGTATTTCTATGGGTATTATAATACATGCTCGTGCGGGCCCGTCGGGCGATTCATGTTTGACAAGTAATAAAAGTGATTAAAGCAAATCTAAACACTTGCTCCAACGCTGGCATTGCCCTCTTCTCATCCAGGGAGGGGTGCGAGGTGGGTCGATTCATTTGTTAATCAAAATGCAAATGTAATCAATAGAACGGAAGTCAACATTGGGGAGACCTGTAATTTGGTTATTGTCCGTAAATGTAATAACATAATGGATCACCATTCCCATTCCAGTAACAGTCGTCAGGGTGCAAGGGCTAGGGGAAGGGCAGGTGTTGCCCTTACAGTGGTTCAGGGCAAATCTTTGTGGCAAGCCAGAGCTTGGCATTCAATCTGTATTCAATTTGTGCCACTGTACATCATGCACTGCCTTTGCCGTAAAAAAAAAAGCCTTTCCCCTTTTGGGTAATGAGTCTAGCCGTGTGGCACGGCACTCCACTGTGCCCTGTGCCCCCGCGTTGCATGTCAAGCAACATGAACATGTTGCCAAAGGTCTCTCCTCTTCTCTCCTTTTCCTTCTCATTCCGTTGCCGTTCTTAGCCATCATTCGTACTGGCGGCCTTTTGGCATTTCGGTTGCCATTTTCCAGCGGAAATGTGCGCCAAAATGTTTGCGTGCCTCCTTTTTACCACCCCACCCGCCGAAGGGAACGGGAATGTAATAATGTTGGAATATTTGAAAAATTAAGAAAAACAACCTTCCAGCGGAGGAGGAGTGGGGGCTGTGGCTGGGGCAGGCAGGATGGTGGAGGAGGAGTTGGAGTAGGAGTAGGACTCTTGGCAAATGGCGCCGGCAAATGCGTTCATTGAACTGCCGACCGAACGATGAAATAAAATCAACAGAAAACACATTTAAAAGGAAAATAAATATGTGGCGGATAACTGGCGACAGGCAGAGTCCTCTCTGTGGCGAGGGAACGACGAAGGACGATCTAAGACAAACAGCGGAGCGGATTTATGGGGTCGGTCGCCGGGTCGTCGTCAGTCGCCCTGTAAGACGGAAGCGGAAAGACGCGCAACTTGCAACTGACACAGAAACTCACAGACGGGGGCCAGGCAGGCAGGCAGGCAGGCAGGAGGAGCAAGCCACCGCAGAGAGGAAGCTGTCAAAAGGCTGTGCAACCCTTGCGGCCACTTCTGCTGCTTATCCTTTTTTTGTGTTTTTTTTTTGCACTGTCAAACGGAAACGGAATCATGTTGCCTTATGCCACAGGAACGAAGCTCAAGACGCTGCTCCTGGGGGGTGCTGCAGCCATGTGTTCTCCTGGGGTGAAATTGATATGCCACAGACACAAACACACACACACAGACAGATACTGAGACTGAGACACAGATATACAGATACTGTGTCTCGTGTTTAATGTCCCCCATGTTTAATGTGCAGAAAATTTCAGATTTTAATCATCCATTCGGCTATCGAATACTTTGTGGCGCGCTGCTGTGGCAAGCTGTTGCCGGTGGGGGCATTACTTACGCCTGAATGGGCGGGCGCAATCCAAGTGAAATCTGAAGTAATTGCCACGGCTCGTTGCATAAGCGGGGCACAACAGGTCGTATTATTAATATATATATATACAATATATATATTCCCGCTCTATAATCGAGAGAGGCAGCCACTGTGATTTCTAATCTTCCAATTCCGATTGAAAACAGATTCATATCATCAAACAAAAACAGCTTTAACGAAAGGGAAAAGTAAAATAATTCTTGCATCATTCAATCAGTTCTTTGCCATTTAAACCAAAAAAATAAAAATAAATAATAATATATACGAGTATATATTATAAAAATACTTCTCGTATCAATTTATGCGAATGACGTTGTCATAATTTTCTAAGCCATAAATTTTTGTACGATCAATGACAGTTTAGGCCCCGACTCGAGGCTGTCATGTGGCGTCACTCTTTTCGGTTCATCGAAGTGAAGTGAAAAGTGAGAGCGAAGTGAGAGTGAGATTTTGTTGTCAGCGGCCTCTAAAAGTGTCGCATATCGAAGCAAATGTCTGAAATGTGAAAATCTCTGGCTGTCAGACAATGCGTCAATCGATGAAAATACGAAAACGAGTCACATTGTCAAGGTCGGAATTCCTTGGAATTGTTTAAAATCTAAGAAAATATTATAAATAATTATTAAGTAAAATTTGCCGTGATAAATGCAATATATAATGGCAGTATTTTGGATGAGAAATAGTTGCATAATTTGCACACTTTTATCCTACTTAAACTACGTATTTTCCTCCACTTTAGGCCACTAAGTGGCATGCTTCTCTCACCCTCCTTGAAGGGGGTGTGGCTGTGGCTGAGACTGTGGCAAATGCTGCAATTTGTTGCGCTCCATTGCGCGTGGAAATTATGATTTTTGCTTTTGGGAAAATCTCATTAGGTTTCGAGTTTCTTTTTTTTTGTGCTGAAAAAGGATGCCGTAAATATGGGTTTCGCGGCTCAATTTCGGTCCAAATTGAAAAGCTCACTGACCGTCGCAACAGCAAGAGGAACGGAGCACGGGGCAGTAGCTGTGGCCATCCTTTGGGGCAACGTGTTTACCTGGCATTTTAATTAAGCGCAAAGTTTTATGGACATTTCTTTAATGGCTGTACATAAATTCACTGGCGGTTTCTGGCTAGAAGAGTAGTCGGCGGCATCTTGGATCCCCCCCCCCTGTTTGGGGACTCAACATACAGATACAGATGCCGGATTCGGGGTACAGAATCAGGGCATAAAATGCACGGCAGGCGGCGTTCCGTTTTGCGATCATAAATGGAAAGTGAATTTTATGCCAATCATTAAACAAAGTTGTGAAACCGAAGCGAAGTGAAACGTTTTGTAGTCGAAGGCCCCCGAAGGCAACGCAGACGGGTCGTGGGTGTCTGATATCTTTATCCCAACTTTGTAGCGTGCCTCTGGGGTCCGTCTTATCGATAGCCGCCTGATAAATGTTTGACACAGTGTGCGGCAGGGCAGCGGTAGCGGCAGCTCAGGACAGGGCAGGGCAGCGAGGTGGACACACACACACACACACACACACACTTGAGGGTGTCATTCAACCCGCTTTGAACTGCAACTGCAACTGCAACTGAAAGAGGTATGGTCGTATCTCTATCTGGCAGATACGCAGGGTTTATGTTTATGGCACCCACTCACACTCACACTCACACTCACCCACTCACTCATTGTTTGAACAAGCAACTGCCGTGGATCAGCACTTGGAGTAGTCCCACTCCATGAATCAATATATAGAGGCTCGCAGAGTGCCTATGAATCCATGAATATGAATCATTGAATCATATGAATCATTGCACAAACTCTTTCAGATACATTCAATATCAGATTTAGGTTCGCTATATGAATTACTTTCATTGAATGTTTGGTCTTCCAATGCCTTCCAATCCCTCATTCATTCATTTAATCATTTGCAATTCATTCATTAAATCATGTGCAGTTTACTCATTGATTCATCGGCAATTCATTCATGAATTGTTTCTGACTGTTGTTTATATATGACGGCCGCCATAAACTACTCATGATCAGCACTCATTAGGCGCGCGCTTCGACATGAACCATTTTTCGGGTTTTCGTTTTGAATTTTTGCATATCTCAAGGGCTCGAACTCCGTTCCGGAATGATTTATTTGCATATGCAACATCGAAATGCACTCATAGCACTCACCCCCCTCTGCCCCACCCACGTGCCCCAAACAGAGTGAGATGAGCTTTTAAGTGGCCGACCCTCGACTTTTTGGCTTTTGTTGACTCGGTGGAGGCCCAGGGAGGGCCTGGGCCCACCTTCTCCTCCCCGAACTGTCACCAAAGTGCTCCACATTTTTTTTTTGTATTTATTAACTGAGGCCTCGCTTCGCCTCGCCTCGCCTCGCCGCCCTTTCCCTTCCGCAGCAGCTTATCCAGTTTAATGGATTTTTAATGAGTCTCAAGCGGTGCTTTTGAGCGGCTTTTCGGCATCGCATCGCATCGCATCGGAAAGGGCAGTTTCATTTCAATCGCTTAATCCTGTTTGACTTTCGTTCGGGAAGGAGGAAGAAGTTTCGGGGGATTGCGAAACGCCAGATGTGCAGTTATTTTTATTCCCAATTTGTAAACTGAAAATTTCATTGACAGTCAGGCAAATGCAAATCAATCGTCCTCTTCCGTCAGTTCATTGTAGAAGGAGTTCACGACAAACATGCAATAGCTGAGAATAGCTACAAAAAATAACTAAGGGAAGAATCATTTTAGAAACAAATTCCAGATAGATCTTACCGATTCTTATGATGGCTATGCCGCTCACCAGGGCCGTGACCATCGTACAGATGAGAACCACAAAGTTAACCAACAGCCAGGGACCAATAAAGCGATGCTTTTCCTGGTTTAAGGTTGGAATATCTAGTATCCAGAGAGAGAGGCAGAGGGAGAGGGAGTGTAGCACTCACCCTGATGGCGCCATAGATCAGCACTAGATCATTGAGGGCCAGCAAGTAGAAAGTACCCGCGAAGCAGCCCACACATGTGGCGGTATCCATTGTCCTGAAGAACTCGACCACGTTGTCGGGAAACTCATTCTTGGCCACCATATACCACCCGAAGCTACCGATTATAATGTCCGTTATGCCGAATAGACAACCCGTTAGGATGACCCCCACCCGCAGGGGTATGCAACACAGAAACTTTGCCAAACGCACCATCTCACATCACTCAGAAATTCTAATTCGAAATCTATTCCCATGAAAACTTTGACACTCTTTGGGATGTACACTCAGTGTTCTGCTAGAAGGTTCTAGCCAACAGTTAGTTCTGGCCATAATCCCACATACTCCACACTGGAGTACAGTATCGGTGGGCTTGTGTGGGGCAATCTATGGGGTTTCCAGGAATTCCATCGAGTGGCGGGCCCTTAGATCGGTTGGCAAATTGAAACAAAAGGGTTCAGTGCCGTCTAAAGAACATTCTTTTGATCAATTCCACTGACACGGAAGCGCCGCAGATACCAGCGACTGATAGCAGCAGGCAGACGAGCCACTCGAGTGGGCGAGTCACGAGTCATGGCTAAAATATTTGGCCAAAGTCTGTCGCTGGCAGGGGCAGGGGGGGCAGGGGCAGGGGCAGGCACTTGCATAAGCATCGCCGCCTCAAAAGCTAAGGTCGTTGGCCATGCCATAGGGGATGGATGGCTGGGTGGGGCGGCACTGATAAGACACTTTTGGCCACCGCCCCTCTTTCGAGTGTTGTGTTTTGCGTGTTGAGCCTAGTGGCACTTTCATTTATCGCCCCAGTGGAATTTTAATCGAATACACGACGAGTGTGTCAGGTGCTGGGTGCCCCTCCACTTTGGAATCTCGGCCAAAGTTCAATCAATCGACACTACTCGAGTGTCCCGATGTTCCTTCCACACACGTTGCATGATAGCGAGTTCCCCCCTAGCCCAGTGTTTGACTGTACTTTCGTGCCCTGACCTAAGGCACACAGCACACGGCACACGGCACTGATAGCCACAGTCTAAGGGGGTTCTTTGTGGATATCCACCAAAATAGCTCTGACCGGTCATCGTGTGGTGGGCCAGAAAGCTAAGCTGTCTTTCCTGACCGATCGGGTTTTAATGCCCTCGCAACAGAACACAAAAGAGGTGTGTTCAACTCCAGAGGATTCTCAAGTTAGAGGTCTTCATTTGTAATTATTTGTTGTCCCCATTTGTTGAGAGCGAGATAGAGAGAGAGAGAGAGTACAAAGTACAATTGTGCACAGAGCACCTGTCTGTGGCGTGTGGCAGTGGTTGCACGCGTAACATGTTTACCGTTTATCACAAAATTTTCGCTTTGTTTTGTTAATCCAAAATACAACAAATTATTTGACAAGCGGAGTTAATTGATTTGATTCTCGTGCCAGCGACTAATTGCGAAACGATCATCGATAATGGCACTCGAGTGTACCCTGCTGTATATTTCACAACATATGTATGTATGAATGGCAGTTTCGTTATGCTCCCCCGATCGCATATATTATCAGTGTTTCAGTATACCCACCCTAGTGTAAGGGGCATGGGCATTGGCTCTATAGCTGTTTTTAAGGTGCAAATTCCATGGAATTTAATTGAAATTCTTGCGCAATGAATTCTTGTTTCCATAATCAAGAAACATTTCTAAGCCATTGAAATCTATAGGTTTTAGAACTTAATTCCCATCGAAAGTAAAATTAATTCCGTATTGTTTTGCTTTAGCAACTGGAATGCGTTGGGAAATTCCCGCAGGAATATATCGAAATATTTCAATAAATGAAAAAATTAACGAAGTTCCTTAAGTGGAAACTTTTGCTAGATTATCCGCTTTGAAGGAATGTGGCATAAATAAAATAACAATCGAAGGCATAGAGCAAATGCCTTTTGGTTCTTTGGTTTTGACAGGTTGCCACACTTCTGGCCGAAAGTAGGCTCCCTTGAGGTGTCTTGGGGGTCTTGGTTAGGAGGGGGGCCTTGGGCTCTTTTGCAGATAAGACAAAATGCGTTTTGCAATAACGGAACACTCTCTATAAGTCACACACACACATGAAATAAATGCCATGGCAGACCATGGTATACAATATACAATATTCTGTTTGCACTAGAGACAACGTCGCAACGTTCCGACTAGGTTCTGGTTCTGGTTCTGTTTCAGGTATGGTTTCAGGGGAGGTTCGTTTGTCGTCTGGCCTCTTGCGTGTTACAGGAAATAAACAACAATAGTCGTAAGAAATGATGCAGTGACACACAGTTCTGTATTGTTGTGCTTTTTTATAGCAGTTTTCCCGTCGAAAAGTCCAAATCATGGCACAACGTACGAGTACGAGTGCGAGTGCGAGTATCTATCTATCTTAGGGAATGGAATGGATATGGCATATGGCATATGGCAGAAATCATCATCATAAACTTCGTCTCTCTCGTTCTGGTTCTGTCAACACAATCCACAATCACAAAAAGACCGCCTGCCGCTCCGCCCAGAGAATGCGCTTCTCTCTCTCTCTTTCTGTCACTCTCCCTTTGGGGGTTGAGGAGGTGTGTCGTCTACACTGAGCGGAAGTTTGGTTTCTGATAAAACCCCAGAAAAGGGAGAGTGATGCCCCAAAAAAGAAAAAAAACAGTCTCTAGGTTCCTGTGGGGCTTTTGAAAGTTGTGCAAGAGCGGAAGACAAAGCTTTTTTATTATTTTATGGTTGATCCATAAGTGGGTCATCATCTGCCGTTGACATAATGCGTCTGCGTCTGTTGGCTATGATCGTCACGGGGATGTGCACTGGGGAGCATTAGTCAGCCATAAGCAGTGTGGATACACGGCCTATTCGTAACTAATTCGAACTATCCATTTACTACCGTTTCAGTAGCCGCCTATTTGCTGGCTTGGTTCAACGATAAGTTTACACAATGGAAGACCCCTTAGACGGCACCCCCAAATCGATTATCACCTTTGATGGCCTGCCACAAAAGCCAAAAAGGCGAGGGCGGCGCTTATCTAAGTGCGCAAAATATCAAGAAATATGTGTGAAATTTCGCTCAGTGCAGCACTCGGACTGTCATTCAATGGCAGACAGGCCTTTTATCGATGATACGCGTATACGGCTGGGGGCAGTGGGGGGGGGGAACGAACGAAGAGAAATGCGTGTCAGATACGACAGGCAGGCAGCAGGCAAAGGAGCAGGCCAGCCACACACCATAACAATAATAATAATCGTCGTATCTACCATTATGGCAAGAAATAACAATAATATATGAAAAATAATAATTGTGTGTGTCTCAATGTTTGCTCTAGATGTCAGCGCCTAGCGCCAGGCACACAGGTGCCACAAATGGGCGGTGGCCGAGGCGGAGGCGGAGGCGGAGCCGGAGGTTCTCGCTCTCCCCTCTCTGGTGCGTTAGCCTTCTTCCATTTAGATACACAGCACAGGGGCAAGCGGCGCACAGCCCCACAACCCACAGAACACAACCCACAATTGGGTTGTCAGTATCTTTATATATTAATCAATAAGAGCAGCCATCAGCGATAAGATTAGAATTGGAGCTTCGTCTGTTGCCGTCTTCTGGCCTATAGTCTGTGGGTGTGGGTGGGTGGGTATGGCTATCCCTCCGCTTCCTCACGAAGCGAACCTTTTTGGCATTCAAAATGATAACATTCCAAGCTGAAATTTGGCCGAAACGAAACAATCGATAAATCTAATGTTTGTCCAGCATTTATTACGAACAAGTGGCCTGCCACTCGCCTGAGCACTCGCACTCCATTCAGTGCTCCATCTAGATTTTTCGCATGCGCTCATAATATTTACATAAACCAAAGCGGGAACACTTTTGCCAAGCCAATTTGTTATTCAGAATACTAAATATATGGCAATAGCCATTCGCAGTGTACGCCTCGGTTCGTTTTGTTTGACGAAACATCTGCGCCACTTGCAATTTTCTTTTCTTTAATTAATTTCCAACTTTTAAAACTTATGCAACACAGAAAGAACCTCCAGAGATAATCACTGCATCTCAGCATCGTTTATATTCCCGGTCGAGCTTTATTCCTTTTGGTGGTTCTATATATCATACGATCCCCCCAAACGATAACGAGTGGCAAATGTACGACGGAATAAGTATATATAAGCAGGGGCTTATACAACATTTTTGATAGCACAGGATAGAAATAGACCCCGCATCGATTGTTTTTGTTTTGTTTTGTTTTGTTGTTTACAACTGTCATAAATATGTAGCTACATACATCGAATGTTGTAAACAGGGATCCAACAAAGATGTTATGGAACGAAATCTATCTGCGTCTCGTAGCGAATGGCCATGTGCAGAACCAAGAAAATTGCATTATTTGCTTAGACATTAGCCAAGTCAACAGCACCCAACAACCCAACTGCAAAGAAGCGGAAATTGTGTCCGTGAAAGCCGGAAAGGTATTCGTATTTTACAGAAAAAGCCTTTTAAGGCGGCCAAATAATTCTCTAGGCTCCCTCTCTCTCTCCCTCTCTACAATCGAATGTGCCGCCGCCAAACGGACGGACAATATCATAAATCAAAATCACTGGCCATGTCATTCGGGGTCTTAGTGCTGTAAGTGTTTTCGCAGAAGTCGCCAAATGAATTTATGAGGCATCGCAACAGGATCATATCGTATTCATACGAGTATCATATCATATTATGTCCAGATAACTAAAGACTGCTTGTCCAATTTTCGTATTCATATCTGGGCAGCTGGTTCGAATTTCCATTGGGTCAGCATTCAACGTTATTTCCGACGATAAGACAGGCAGGTGCTCCTGACAATTCTGTGTGCTACCTACCACCCAAAACAATTCCGCATTCCTCAGCCCTCTTTAAGGGATCCCCACAACTTGCTATACGAATAATTCAGAGGTAGTTGCGGGAGTTCATCTGTTGTCGGGGGACACCATTTGGCAGCATTTTCTCTGCGCACATACTAATTAAAGGTATCTCTAATTTAAAGACAATTTCAGCTTTAAACTGAATCTCTGCTCTTTCATTGGTAAAAACCCCACCAGGAATTATCTTTTTCAGACATTTTTGTACTCCAAAAGGAAATTGTTTGTCGCGTCTTTATCTGCAACAAACCCATTTAAGAGCTCCCGTCAAATTTAGCGATTAATCAATGCTTGTCAGTGTGATTGCCAGAAACACGTTTTTTTCGCCAATGCTGCCTATCATCGAGCACGTTTTTAAAACGCGACAAAAACTTTCCGCTGCTGACCAAAACATTGCCCGATGTCAGAGATTAGTGCGCCGAAAGCACTAAAAATAAAAAAAATAATCGAATCGAAACGAAACAATAACAAGTTTTGGATACATTCTGGCCTATGGTGTGGCCTTGATGTCGGTACAGATTTTCATGTCGACAATCAAAAGAAAGTGGCCCAAAAAATTTGGATTCTTATCTGGCAAATGCAATTAGGGGACCAACTTACATATAGCTCTTGGTATTTATAGGGGGTAATTCTCGGTACCAAGAAGTATAGTATATGTACATATACGAGTATGTATATAAATGTATATCTAAACGTAGATTTCGTTCCGTAGCAGCTGCTGCTTCTCGGAGCGTTGCTGGCTCTGCCTCCCCACATCTATTGACAATTCAATTAACGTTTTGAAATAATTTCATGATAAGCGCCACATTTGGGCGCAACGCCAGAACAGCACAGAACAGCACAGCACCTAATAACAGAAACACACAGTAAAACCTCGTAATAAAACAGAACACAGAACTGGCAGCGAATTGAGTTCGAATGAAGGTGGCAACACAATCGACAGACTCTATGTACGTTCAGGCACCAGGCAAGACCATTGATTGAGCCATAAACTTTACTCTCAACATCTTGTTAAATGATTAAAAACGAATTTCCTTAGATATTCCAATAATCTTTACCACTCCCAGCCATTTTAAAACTTAAGTGAAAGAACTGTTCACCATTTTCCTTGGGATATCCCCTAACCTTAGCGCTAATTTCCATTTAATGTCAGCATATAAATCATTTGATATCACTTGCACGCCATCTCGGTATAAAAACCAGAGTTCAGCTTGAAACGAAATTTAGTTCCGTTCAAGGTTTGATTCAGAAATGTATGAAATTAATAAAAAACCTTAACGGAAAGTTTCCCATAAAAAAAGAGAGAACATTTGCTAAAAGTGAAATCCCCGTGTTATCTGTTTGCGTGCGCGGATTTCATTGATGAAACGATTCTCTCAAAACAAGAGCAATGGCTGACAGCCTTGGGGGAACGACAATAAAGCATTGCCCAGTGATAAGATAGATGATTACATTACGGAGAGTGCCACAGAACTTAGAACTAATTCTGGAGTTAAAATCCACCCGTAAGAGCCATCATTTATAATTTCATTGCATTGCGAAAGGTTTTTCGTCATCGATACTCGAGTTGTTTTTTTTTTTGCGCTTTACACCTAGATATCGGTTGTTCCATCGCTTGTCTGTCTGTCTTGCCGCCTGGCGCCAATCAAAATATCGACGCTATCAAAAGCAAAGCCCCTGCACTAAGCCACCATAAAAAGCGCCGCTAATTTGGCCCTTGATTGCCCATTTATTTGCTCGGCACACGCTCATTGCCACCATCGACATCGACATGGACATGGTCATGGTCGATGTGATGATGATTCCAGTGTAAATATTAACCCCTTGGTATTCCACCAGTGCATTAGATATATTAAAATTCGGCCACCGATTGCGGCCCATCCGACCATCCATCAGCTATAAAGAAGGCTTCAATCCCATGGCCTACAGGCAGTTCATTCCATTCTTTGCGAGTGTCGCAGTGAGTCATTAAACGATTCAGCAGTTCAGCGGTTCAGAGGCCAAGGTTCTCCATTGAGTGGCCGCATCGCATCTTTGGGTAATAAAACTGTGATTTATATGGGAATCAAGAACTGGAACTAAAGTTTTGTGTGCATTTTAGTTGGAACATCCGCATCCGCATCACGTAAGTAAATAAAAATGATTTTTTTTTATTTGTGAAAATGATTGATGCGCAATCAAATGCAGTCATGAGAGAAAGCATAGTTTCGAAGACCATAACTAACTATAACAGATACATATATCCTTCAAACAAAAGGAAAAATATATCAAATAAAAAAGATAAATGTGATGACAGAATGTGGAGGAAGACATGGATCTTTGGGCTGAGATTTTTCCATTCAGACTGAAGGGAAACATTTGTATCTTTACCACATATCAACCATACGCCATGTGCTACCATCTAAAATTTACTTGAATTGATATACAATTGGAAATCATCATCTAAAATATACAAATAAATCCAGACAAAAAAACTTCCTCTATTGCAAGTGGAATTTTGTTTCGCATATCCAAAAATAATTACTGCCGTCTCAGAATTTACATACTCGAGTGAGTGCCGCCGAATTGCGAATGCTAAATGCTCAAAATGTGTTGTATAAGAGGTTCAGGTACTCGGTCTCGTAGCTCATTTCGGTACGAGATATTTCTCGCATGCCTAGGGCATGAGGAATACACTTGAGTGGCAGCAGCACAATATAAAAAATATTCCAAGCGCTTCGAACAATTCAATCAACTCAAAGTGAAGTCTCAAGTCTCAGCCTCAAACCCCAGAGCGGACCTACCTCCGCTTCGGAGTGCCAACGCATGCCAAAATAATTCGCAAAAAATACGCTCATTTAGAACAAATAAGTAAATAAATGATGCGCGCACTCATTACATGCAAATACTGTGAATATTCAATGGAAGAGGATGTGGAGAGGCGAATGAAAGATTGCCTCGAAACGGAACTGCGAAGCGAAAGACGTCGCCAAATGTTTGTTTCACGCCCGAGGAATTTCAGTTATTTCAGTTATTTATTTCGGCACATTAACAACAAACGGCAGACGACCGACACACCGGCTCCCCATTCCTGGGGGGCATGGCATACCTCAAATTGATTGCCAAATAAATTAATGTGTAAAAACATTACCAAGAGTCAGGCAAACCGAGTGGTGAGAGAGAGGGAGAGGAAGATGTTCGGTTCGGTGGAATGGAAAAACAGTATAATTTAATTAGCGATCGCTTGTTGTTTGTCATCTTTTTTTTTGTATAATTATTTACTCGACATTTCCATTGTAGTTGCGTGGAGTTTCTTTTCTCGTGCAAATATTTACCCAATCAATCGCCGATTGATAGCAGTTCCTCTGATTTTTAGGGAATTTCCCTTCACAGATAAAATAATTGGCATAGTTCCGTTCAGAGGGTGGGGCCCGTGGGTCTGGGTCTGGGTCTGGGGTTGGGCTCTCCCGTGCGATGATATAATTGTTTCGATAGTACGCGTATTATCGAATATTTGCACACGCTTCGGTACTCAATGTTGCCTGCCCCTGAAGGGCGGCTCATGAGGCATGCAAATATTTGGATTCTAAATATCGTATCTCATCGTACATTTATCAAAGCATCAGCATTGGGCGCGAATATTGAACCCGCACGGGAGTCACGGTCGGCGACAGTCAAGGATGGAAATGAGTCTCGTCTGAGACGGATATGGATGGTGTCATCGATGTTTCAGCATGGAATTCCCAGGGAGCCACTTAAAGATCTATGAATTAAAGTGGCAACGGCAAAACACTTACCATCAGGAGGTAAATAATCTTGGCATAGACCGTAAGCTGTGGTAACCTGTAAAAGAATCAACATTTAATATAGTTTATATATGGATTGAGGATTATAGATTAAAATCATGCTCCTATTTCTACTTTTACTCAACAATCTTTGTTAATTTAAAAGCAAACCAAATTCAATGGCTGTAATTGTCAGCTTTACTGTGTGTTGTGTTTTGATAATTGTAAGGCACAAACCGGAGCGAAACACCCACCCAAATACCGCAATTATGACATAGTATTTATATGATATTCGTATGTGGAGCACGGGGCACAGCTAAGCCAGAGATAAATCACCTTTTGTGACACTGCAAATGAGCAGGAGAGAGCTGCGAACACCATAAATTTGCTTGAATTTATTATGCAATTAGTTCAAGACTTGTGCCGTGTGTGGCATGCGGCAGCAGCAGTAGCAGCAGCAGAAAGCAGTAGCCAAATGTCAGTGAGAAATTACCACGGAATTCCGTAGCCCAAGAGAGACCTTGAGGCGAAAGTTCTAGCCAGAATGGAGGGCAAAATGGGGGTAAAAGTGAAAGGATATCGGACATCTGTTCTCCCATTCGCTTAGATAACCTTTTCGCTGATTTATTTCAGCCAGAGCTCAGATCCGACCTTGGACTGCAATTGAAAACTTAAGCACTTTCCGCAGAGAAACTTTTGCCCGCCTCAAGGGGCACTCAAAGCCGCGACCCCTTGGCCCACTCGAAATGAAGAAACTTGTATCGGAATTTTTCGCATTTTCCGCATTTTCCATTTAATAGAACTTTATGTCCAGCGTGAAAGTGGCAACCAGACGACGCTGCCCGCCCCTGGGCCTGCGATAGTAGTTGGTGTCGTGGACGCGATAGAAGCCGGGTCGCAGATACCCAGGAATGCTGTGGTTCTCCATCTGAAAGTTGCGCAGGTCGTAGAAGGCCTGCGGGTGGAGAGAGAGCTCATAACTTCCCATAGATTCCCAAAGGGAAGAGGGTTACGTACGGGCTTGATGGGACAGCGGGTGGCAAAGTGTCCGTACTTGAAGACATTGCGGAGCCACACTTTCATGAGGCTCGCCTGTAGGAGCTCCTTGAGGGTTCTGCATATGTCCATGTCGTAGCTGAAGAGCGTCTGAAATCGCTTGGACTCGGAGCCACCCTCCACTCTCTGCAGCAGGGTGATGGTGGTGCGCATCCCCGGCTTGATTGTTCGATTCAGATTAATGTCCAGATTGAGGTAACCCTGCGGTGTCAGCCAGGCACTGATGCTGCCAAAAAACTCCGCATTGTACTCCACGCTGATGTTGGTGAATTTGCTCTGCAGATGCTCCCCTTGGAATGGGATGGGAATCGTCGTTCAGCGAGAGAAAGATCTTTGAGGCATTACTTACTGTACGGACTGGGAGCAGCAGATCCCAGCAGAACGCCATGGAGCAGTAGCAGGCACAGCAGGAGCATTGCTGACTGTCTGGCCAGAAGCTCAATCACTGATTGCTCACTGATCTAATAAGCATTTTTGCGCGAGCGGTTCCACTCATTAGTGCGGCACGAATGGACTCCTAATGATTGAATCGGCGTTGAATCAGTGAGCTGAAAGTGTGAACGATACATTTTCACAATCATTAACTACGCTCGTTGGCCGATCAACCATAAATCAATCAGCACTCAATGCATCAATCCATCAATCAGCTGGCCATCAATCTGTCAGGCCGTATCCACACTTTGTGCGAGTCGCGTTTGATCCACATCCACATCCACATCTGTCTGCCACATAAAGAGTCAAGTTCAGTTGGCGCCTGGCAACTGCAACGGTGAGCGGCGTGCGGTCCTAACCGTAAAGCAACACTGAAAGTTGTTGCATGCCACATGTGTCGCCGTGGCTGAGGCTGATGCTGATGCTGACGCAGACGCTGACACCGCTGTTTGGTTTGCTGTTTGCTGTTTGGCTAAGCGGCGTTTAATTGGAAACACAGTTGGGTGTTGCTTTTGACCGGTCCTGCGGCTGAATTTGTATCTGCATCTGAATCTGAATCCCAGTCCGAATCGCAGTTTGACTTTCTGGCTGTGGCTATGGCTGGGGCTGTCTCTGCCAGAGTCGGCTGTCTTCATCATGTGGGGCATCAACTTTCAGCAGCCTTGCGGACAGCTGATGGACATCGCACATTTGGCCGTGTTCTCGGCTCCGCTCCTCGAAAAACCCGTTCAAAAGGCGACCGAAAACTGAATGCATGACAAATATTACGCATACGTCGTGTGGCAGCGTTTTGGTTAAAAAGGAAATGTTTACCTTGTTTTTCCTTCACGCCACACCCCTTCAAATCACGCCCCTCTCCCTCTCTCTCTCTCTGTCTGGCCTCCGCTTGCCACTCGCTTAATTGCTGAGCCGCGTGGAACGTTTAATTGCAAATTATTCAAATGCCTTTGCCACTGCCAGTGCTGCCGCAGCAGTCGCTGTCATTGCTGTCATAACCAGTCGGCGGCAGCTGCCACGCCCCCCGGTTCCCTCACCATCCACTCATCCTTCCGACTTTGCAATTATGTCTCAAATTAACACAGCAGCACAGCCACAGAGCGCCCCCCGAGCAGTAGCAGCAGCAGCAGCAGCAGGAAAATGCTGGAAACAAGCAGGGAAAACTATCATCGAGAATCCGAGGCTTTAGATACCCTAGCAGATAAATTGCTCTCATAATGGATGTATAGTCGTACGATTTATGCATATAAATGTTTATGGAATACATAGACTCTGGTTCCTTTAGATTACTTTTTGGGCTGCGAACAGCTGCTCAAAGGCTTCATACCCTCCGGGAAAATGTATCGAAATTCCCCACTTTTCGCTGTGCTGCTGCTGCTGCTGCTGACTGTTGTTATTGTCAAATGAAATTAGGCGTGAAATGTCGTTTGAACTTTGGTGGAAATACTCGTACGAGTATTTTGCAGCAATAACAACAGAAGCAACGTTCACAAGTGTTATTTATGAATATGAACGAGTTATATATGTATGTATGTCTGGGACACGTGGATACATTCTGTGTGCACTCTGTTTCGATCGGTGCAATGTTTATTGTTGCCATGTTGCCATGCTGCCACTCGGCCAATATCAATATTTGATATTCCTCGGCAATATTGATAAAGATACGAGTATCTTTATCTGCTTAGTGTTGACCACGGCCCAAAGAACACGGCCATATCTATAAAGGTAAACCAAACTTACTGCCTGCACGATGGGATGAAAGTGAATAGTTTTACATGCAATTCTGATTAAGTTAATGGCAACAGATTAGGGATAAGTCTGCAGGTTGCTTTAATTTTTATTGAATTGAAATCTGAACTAAAATGTTCCCTCCACCACGAATTGCCTTTCATTCCACATTGGACCCCGCCACAGTGCAGCTGTGGATGTGGCTGCAGTTGCTGCTGCTGCTGCTGCCTCCCGCCTACAGCCTGCGTCTCAAGTTGCATTTATATGCAAATAACTAAAATTGTTTTCAATTTGCCACTGCACGCGCCTTGGCCATCGACTGTCCACCGTTTGCCGTTGCCATCGACGTCGCATTCCTGTGAGCCAACTTGCAGCTAATTTTATGGCTAATTGTCTGCCGGCCTGCCTCAAGTTGCTGCCACTGCCACTGCTGCTGTTGTTGTTGGCCGCATTGATTGCTGATGAAGTTGTGATATTTGCGATAAAAAATGTATGTGATAAAAATTATTGAGCATGCGGGCAACGCTGACAGGTATTTCTTAATTGTCAGAGCGACTTTTGCTGCTGGAAAACTAATACGGGGAAAAGCCTCACGCACAAGGACGACAGCTCCAGAAGAGCCCCATTATGGAGGGAGGCGAGGCGTGCCATTAGCGGCAAATGTCAAAGCGCTGAAAGCTTTTAATTAACTTTCTGCTCGTAATCGTACTCTCGGGTGCGGTTCGCCTCCAGGAGGATAATAGAAGGGACTGGTGTCTAACCCAGATTCAAAATTTACTGCCACGGTGGCCGACAAGTCCTTTTAGCCGCTGTCAATAAAACGTAACTTCTTTTCGTTCATTCGGAAGTCAATCAAGCGTAATGGGAGCAGTAAAATCTGGCCACCAAACGACTGCAATGCGGTAGAAAAAAAAAAAACACTTTTAAGGAATTGAATTTCTTGGAAATTCGATGAAGCTCTCACTGCTTGATCTTTCGACCCTGTGGATATAATCACTTTTCCACTTGACGAAGATGCTGATACTTCTGACACAGATCTCTATATATATAGTCGTGTTCTGTTCACAGATTCCCTGGAAGACTGCGTGATATCCATCAGATCACGAGGCCTACACGTAGCCAGGTTTTGCATCTATTTGGCCGGGCATACACTCCCATGAACAAACAACAAACACTAGAGCCCCAAGCGATCCAAGCGATCCGAAGATCGAATCGAATGGAAATTGCGCAGTATCTGCTGATATCCGACTGCCACTGACCGAGTGCCATGCAATGCAAATGTGATTTCTATTTTTATCGGCATTGTAATCGGGAATGTTTAATGCTATTTTCATTCCATTCCAGTTTTGGTGGATTTAATGGTAGACTCTGTTCAGGGGCTTGATGAATGGCCAGCAAGCAAGGTGTCGAGTTGATTTATCCCATATTTTATTTGGATTGAATAATGTGCTATGCCTTGGACTATGGGATAATATTACATCAACGGCTGAATGGCTGAGGGGTAGAGTGCTGTAATCTATGGTATGATATGAGGGGGAAACCAGTTATACAGGCATTCGCAATGCTTAGAAACAAGATCATTGATATATGTATAGGGCTGATTAACGGTAATATACTTATGTAAAATAAGATAAGATTCGATCGATCATTTCTCATTCTCCGTGTATTTGCATCTCCTGACATCTTAATTCCCCTTTCCCATATTCCGATTGCCAAATTTCCGCCATTTGAAATTCAATTTTCATTCCTTTCCAATCTGCCCATCAACATCATTATCCACCACATCATCACCATCCAACCAGCTCATTATCATCATCATTATCATCATCATCTCGTCGAATTGTCATTTAATAAAGTGCTAAAAGCCAGCCGACAGCCACAGCAACAACAGCAACAACAGCAACAACTACACATGTGAATTCCATGCAATGACAATGACCGATAAAGGGGCAGGCGGGGGGACAAGAAGGCAGAGGGAGATTAAATGCTATGGATAGTGCCAGTGCCAGTGCCAGTTCCAGTGCCAGTGCCAACGGCGATGGGGGAGAGCGGTAGAGTGTAAAGTCATCTTAACGTCTCTTTCCACTTTACAGTTAGATATGAGCAAATGTCGATGCAATTCAATGTCAATGCAATGCAATATAGCGGGTGTGTCTGTGTCTGTGTCTCTCCTCCTTCTCTGACACTGTGTGTCGCTCTCACCCTCTCTTCATTGCTCTCCCACTTCGGCACTCTGGCAATCATGCTAGAATCTCCACGCTCCACTCTGCCTCTGCCTCTCCCTCTCCCTCTCCAGCACTCAGGCAATCATACTCGAATCTACACTCTCGCCTCTCCCTCTCCTCCTTCCAGGTCTGTGCTTTTGCTTTTAGTGAGTTCATGACATGTCCGAACACGTCTGTCCAATGCATTATACCCTCGCAGAGGGTACTGTGACTTTGGGAAGAGATGTTTACAATGCAGAGAAGGACACAATTTTATGCACGTAGTATTAGTATCTATGTATATTAATCATACATGTATCAATGCTTCGGCGCCCGAAGTTGCATGCGAGTCTGTGCTTGTGTTTATGTAAATATCTATTAATTATTGGCGTCTAAATGTTTTGCCTGTAATTACAATACAATCGCAGACACATGTGCAGCCATTGAGGCGCCCCCAATATTGAGGGTATACATATGTACATACATATGTATGCATATATATGTATGTATCAGTATCTGTTGTTGTGTTTGCTTTGGCACAATTAAATCAAGCAATTAAACGGCAATTGAGATTTGTTTGTGGCATATTCAAGAGTTGGCGATGTGGGAAGTGGCGAAAAATGGGTTATGTATGTACATATGTTATGTTAAATAAGGGACACGGAAAATGAGACATGTATCTGGAGTAGAGTAAATAGAGCAGATACTAAACGAACTCCTATTGGCATTGAAAACTTACTCTTTACTTTACGCCCAAAAACCTCCTTAAGCTCCTTTAATACCAGACTTAGTATTCAAAGCCTTCGCTCTACGATTGACTCTCCCCCCATGCGCACCGTGTAATCCCCATAAGAATCGATGCCTTAGTCATACCCATTAAATGTTTAGATAGCTTAGGTCAGGAATGCAAAACAAATTATAAACAGAAACAACGGAAAAAAAAACGAAAATAATTTCGATAAAATACTTGACGGCAGGGTTTATTTTTAGTAGATGTCTAGACCTGTAAAGTATTTATTCGGTATTTATTCGTTAAATATTGTTTATTTATCAATTTGATTATGGTTTTTGCTTTTGTTGTTTTATTGTGCTGTGGGTTTGTCTCTCTCTCTACAAAAAGCGCAAAAATGTGGAAATATTTTCCCAGCTGCCCTTCGAACGGCAACAAAGACGCCGTACATACGCCCACACGAGGCAGCAGCAAGTGCATCCCCAGTGCATCCTTTCGCTCAGATCTTTCCCATGATCAGCCCACGTTCCCCAACTGACAAATTGGCAAACACGCAGCCAACAGACAACACACGACACGACACGACTCGCACAATTCATGATCAAGTGCAATCTTTTTGACATTAATATGACAACTGCAGCCAGAATGCGAATAGCGTATAAAGGAGCCACTGGACATGACTTCAGTTCCAGACCCAGAGGCCCAAGCGGAAAAAAATCAATTATGCGCACGAGGCACAAAAGCCGCGCAGCAGTGCCACGGAATGACAACTGTGAATGCAACTGCAACTGCAACTCCACTGCGAAACTCCCGCCAATGATTGAGTATGCGACACAGAGGCAGCGAACGCCAAAGTGGCGAACGCTGATGAATGTCTGTCAAATTGTTGACACGCCACGCGGACGGCAGACAACAAACGACGGACGATGGACGCCGATGGAGGAGCAACACTGACGTTGACATTGACACAATGGACATGGAATGCAGCAACGGAGTCCAGCGAGGAGCTAACGATTGGAAAGTCGACACAGGGTATACCCAGGGTAAATTGGAAGGAGCGTAAAAATATAAGAGATTGCTAGGTATAACCAATTTATCACCCAGCATTATTATTATTCCATTCCCATTCTCTATACAGTGTTACGAATAAAAGTAACTGTCTAATACACCCACATACACCCACCCAAGGGAACTCCAGTCAAGAGGCGACAAAGTTGCACCATGATGATCATAATCAACATCGGATGATGATGATCATTCGTGGAAATATTTTATGCCATTTAATTTCAGCTCCCAACGCTGTCTGCCTCTGTCTGTCATCTAATTGAGTTGTTGGCCAGAGCCCCCAGAGCTCCAGAGCCGCATAGCCACAGCCATAGCCCAGAGCCAGAGTTGGGGATAAATATTTATCGGCATATTAATGCAGCATATTTCAAATGCAAAGTCGACTCTCATCTGACTGACTTACTTCCTCAGTGAGCGAACGAGCGAACGAGCGAGCGAGCGCCTGGGAAACATGTTTATGCAACTCCGCAGCCAACACTCTACTCCACTCCAATCTATCCACCCGGCAACACACTCTTCTCTTCCATCTTCCAGCCCACCATCCACCATTCATCCTCCATCCTCCATCTTCATCCTGCGTCTTATCAAATGATTTTATTTATGCTATGGGCGCGCATGTGTGTGATAATTGGATTATTTACTTTCGCGGCTTAGCAGCATCCACAGGGGAAAATGGGAAAATTGTCGAGTTTTCGCTTTCTATTAAGTCGCTCGCTGGCGCGCACAGAGTGGCAGCCAGAGTGCCCCGCTGTAGGAGACGCCCAGTACATGGTAGTAGTTGAGGCAATCACTCCAGTTGAAATCAAGAAAAATCGATTACAAATGTTGTCAAATTTAGTTACATAATGAAAACTAATAGAGTTTTCTTGGGGAAAACAGAATAGTTCATTGAAGGATTGATACATACAAAGAACATCCAGTCCTTAAAGTGTTCAAGTGGAGGACATTCTTTGTGTAGATTAATATTTTCTTGAATTCTGCGAATCAAGTTTTAATCAAGTTTCTGGACAAGGTTTCGCCGCAAGTTAAATGGCAGACAAGGCTGCCCATGACGGGGGCCACTAATCAAGCGAGTTCCCTTCCTGTATGACAACTCCCACTCGCGCTCCCATTCTCATTCCAGCTGCTGCTCCACTGGCAATGTCCAGCAGTTTGTTACTGTCCGCTGAAGTACGTCCCAGTGGGGCAGCAGGAGACCCTCTGTGGCTCCACCACCTTCTTCGCCTTCGTCTGGCATTAATATGTATGAGCGGGTGTCAGGAGGCAATGCCACAACGCGTTTATCAAACATTTGAAACATGCGTCGACGCCACTGCTGCGTCCCCGCTCTCCACATCGATGGTTGACCCAATTATCGGGGCATTATAAAGTCGTAAAGCATACGGGGAGACAGACGTGTGTGCGGTGTGTGGGCCAATTGGCAAATAGAAGTCGGGCCAAAGACACAGATATACATAGATAGATAAAAACGGGCGGTGGGGGGACTCATGGGGAGTCATGTCTGGCTGGATAGATGGGAACCACGCTACCGCCACATCCTATTAGGTATGCAAGCGAAAATCGGCTGAAATTCATAAATCACAAATCACTTAGGCACCCCCACTCCATCTGGTAGCCGGACAGGGAGGGTTGGGGTGGGCTCTGGGGCAATGGTCATGTTTTTTTGCGATAATATTGACAAATTGTGCAAACATTCGCACACAATTAATAAACGGCGACGCGGATGGAGACATAAACGCAGTGGCACACACAAGCACACACACCCTGTCCGCCCACGTGCTGGGCAGCCGCGTGTCCATCGATGCGTGGTGAAGGGAGGGGGACATAATCCAGGGGTAAGAAATCAAAGCGAAACAAAGACAAAAGCGGACTTGACAACATCAGTTCAGGAGCCAGGCGCCCGCCCAAAGGCGCTACCTAAAAATAAAATGGGAATGAAAGAAGGGGAATGTCGACAGAAGTGTCACCGGGGCACAGTGGAACAAACAGCCATGCAAGTGGCTGCTCCCTGAACGCTTTCAGAATGAATATTAAAAGTATTTTCAGCTACAAATATATGTGTTCATCCCACTGTGCCACTCTCTCTGTCTCTCTGCCACTCTTCTCTCCTGTTTCATCAGCAAACAAAGCACGTAAGAGGCGCCCACACAGAGGAGAACTTTGGATTCAGGGAGCAGAGCAGAAACCTCCACCCGTGAGTTGGCAACTTTTTTAGCCGATTGAGTGACCAAAGGAGTGACCGCTCCTCATCCCACTTCCGTTGTGGAGCAGGCAGACAGAGCCCTGGGGCAGACCTGGACCTGGACTTGGACTCGGACAACATTTTGATTGATGAATGCAGCCTGCAGCCTGCGAACAGCCTTTGATGTGGCACTCGACTTTCGTTTTTCCAACTAAAGTCGCAAATTTATGCCGGCATCTGCCGTAACTCGTGTGTTCAGGCCAAGTCTGTTGTGGTAAGCGGCTTAGAGGCCCGGCCCACAGGAAGCCACCGCGACAGACATTTGTGTTGACAAATCAATTAAATGCGAAATTTAGAGGCGCACAAACAGTAGCAACATCCACTGCTAAGCGCCCAACGGAGGCACGCAAGACAGAATCAAAGTAGGACTCGAAATCGAATCGAAGCTCTCCTTAGGCTAGAGAGCCCACTGAAACCTGGCCGAAAACCAGAACGTGGCCAGGCCGGAGAAGTTGTCGACGCTTATCGAAAACATTTATCCGGCCATGCGAATCGTAAAGTGTGAAAACAAATTGCCAAGAGCCCCCGAGGTTGGCCAAAGGATGGAGTGGGGGAAACTCATTGCAGCCGTCAGATAATTGCACTCGATTTGTAATTCAAGATTAAGGGCACTCCGCCGTCGGAGTTTGAGTTTGAGTTGGAGTCCGCGTCGGAGTCGAAGTCCAGAGGAACGTAAGCCACATTTATAAGGAGAGACAGCTCGTCCGTTTTCCGTTTTTGCATGTAATTTATGTGCAGATCTCTTTGTTTCTGTCTGTTTCTGACCCGATAATCGCCTAAAATGTGGGCCATGAGTTAAGTGATTATGTAAATTTGTCCGCTGCCCGCTGCCCGCTGTTGGTGATGGCGTAACCTTCAATTGCCAGAGGAGATTGGCTTTTGAAAGGCCAAAATTGATTGGCAATTTTAAAGATAGAACATGGTTCAAAGGAAAAATACTATAGTTGCAGTGAAAGTGCCTCACTTCGCTTAGTCCCACTGTAGTAGAGATACTATAAATAAATTATCTCTAACATACATATGTATGTACATATCTATATGGTAGGAGTAGTTGTTATAAATGGATTATGTACTTACATCGTATTTACTTGACCTCATTTTACCCATTTATTTTGCATCTAATTTGCATTCGTATTTCGTCTACGTTTCTCTGTTAAATTCAATCCGCGCTAACATTTAAAAATCGATTTTGTTGAATTCGGTTTCGAGTGGTTTTACTTTTTGGATAATTTTTGTTTTTGTTGGATTACAAATTGATTTAAGAATTTTGAACACTTTTTTTTGCAATTGATTTAAGCACTAAATATTTCGATTCGATTAATTGATTATTTAATTAAGATATAGAAGCCTGATTTGGATATTGTTTAAACAGTCTTTGATAATAGTTTTTTTTTTGTTTATTTTTGTAGTTTATTGTTTATTCATTTATTGTATTTTCTATGGCGTGAGTTGGGAGGCGACTGCAAGAGGCGAAATTTCACCCAAAAAGAAAAGCATTACTCATGCGACACGTGGCACGTGGAAAGCAGCAGCTGACTGACTGAAACCGAAACCGAAACCGAAACTGATTCCGAAACGAAGAGGCAGGCCCCCAAATATCGCACCGCGCCGCCCACACCACCTCGTGCTTTAGGGGAAGGGGCCGTGGCAGAGGCAGAGAACCACCGAAATACAGGCCAGAGGCAGGAAATCCATAACGATTCCCATAAACCCCACAAACGACCGACGACTGTTACTTTCAGCTGGGGCAAAACTGTTTACGATTTACGATGCCCCCGAGAGTCCGGGGCAGAGAGCTCTCGCTCTCTCTCTCTCTCTCTCTCTCTCTCTATTTTTCTCTCCCTTTCTCTGTCACACTTTGTGTCCGTGCCACGTTTCGCCGTGTGTTGTTTTTGTGGGAAAAATCGTTAGGCAGCAATAAAAACAACAACCAAAAACTGCACGGAATCGGACGGCAATGCGGATAGACGGACGGGGATAGGTGGCGACACCAGCAGCCACGTGAAAAATGCCGGAAACAGAAATCGATTTGCAGGCAGGAAAAACCCCCACGGATGGGTACACGTGTGGGGGGAAGGCGATGTTATGTGTGGTCCGATATGGCGTGAATCCCTTTCCGATTTGCACTAATCTTTAAGGTTCCGTTCTCATCGGTTCGGAGCAATTATGTCACACGCGCAACGCTCGAAAGTAGGCAACGATTACGGCTCCATTTTCAGCACTTTTCCGACACTTTTTGAAGGGCAAAAAAATGATGGGACTTTTGATGGGGATTTCTGTTTCTCGCTGTGGATTACCCTTGCTGCCACACTGCCACTCCAGCTGCCACTGCGCTGCTGCTGGTGCTCCTGCTGCTGCTGCCCGACGCGCTGAAAATTCACGTAACAATTGATTTGTGTGTCAAAAATGTCACAAGTGTCAAAGGCGCGTGGCAGCGGTACGTTGGCCAGAACCAGCGAGAGCACACGTGCAGCAGTGACCAGAGAGAGAGAGAGAGAGAGAGAGAGCGAGAGCCAGAACTGCGCTGCTGCGCACAGAGTGAACTGAACCAAGGTGTATTTGTACAGGAAGAAGCTTTTCTGCTCTTCAAATTGCATTTTTTAACTTTCAACTTTGCGACTTCCGGAAGAGCGCCTTTCTGCGAATTCCTCACCTTGCATTAATATAGTTTGGAGCAGAGTAATCAGGCGAGAGAGAGAGAGAGAGACCAACCAACACGTGTGTGTCCTTTGAAAGAGAAACCAAAAGCAGAAGCAGAGGCAGAGGCAGAGACTGTGCAGAGATTGTGTGTCGGATCTGTTCTGCTGCCTAACGGCAACGATCAGAAAGAAAGAAGAAGCTTAAGTAATCCCTTTCAAAAGATGAAACAATGCGCAATATAAGAGAGAAAACAAATCTATATATCTGATATGATTTTCCAACATTTAAAACTCAAATCCAAGGTTTCCTTTACAAAGTACCCACTGTAGACATATTTACAGCTATTATGAATCACTTGACCATCCCCCGGCAAACCGGCGAAAACCATACTTTAAATCCTCAAAAGCTAAGCCAAAAAGGGGTTCGGTTCGGCCTGGTTCGTTTTTCGTCTATTCCTTGGGATCCTGGCTAAACGGCTTAAAAGGCTCAAATGTTCACGAGGCTTGCTTTTCAAGTAAACAGGGTGGCTTTGCCAAAGACGGTGTTAAGTCTACACACGCGCAGGCACACACCACACACACCACACACACACACACAAAAGCACACAGCGTTATGCCTGGATTTATTCAATGGCCAGCAATTTGCATAATTAACTTTTAGTCCGCCTCTGTCGTTAGATGATTTGTTAAATTTAATTTGTTATTGTTGTTAATTATTAATTAGTTAAACGCGAGCCCGCTTTTGCCTGAAAGTAAGTCCGTTCGTGTTCGTTGGAATCTCAGATCCATCCGCGCCGCGATTGGGTGTCTCTGTTTGTTGTTGGAAGAATGCGAAGAGCGGCGAAAACTGGCCGACGACCACCAGGCTGCGGCAGGCTGCACTGCTGCTGCTGCAGACTGAGGCAGAGACAGAGAGACCGACCGGCTGACTTCTGCAGTCGCGTGAGTCGAGCAAAATGTGGAGTGCGGGTGGGTGGGGAGGGTGTGCTCACCACTTGAGGCTAATAAGAAGAAAGAGAACAGAGACAACAACCACAAGAAGAACCGCAATGAGCGAGTTGATTGCACGCACAGTATATCAATGTAAGGTGTGGCATTCCAAGTGAGTATTGCCACTATGCTGGTACTATTCGGCATTTGGTTTAGACCATGTGCAGTCGCAGTTGCGACAGAGAGTGGTTAATGCATAATATTTGCCTTGAAGTGCCTTGCCTCACCCTCACCCAAATACACCTTGACTGCAACACCATCCAGTTGAGAAAGCTCCAAACAGCGACGTTGGCTTCGCTGCTGCGTTGCGTGTTGTTGTCGGTGCAACTTTTGCAGGCAAAAACAAAAACAAGAATAAGTGGAGTGAAAGAGCAAATTAAATGTTGCTCTTTTAACACTTTGCGGAAGCAGGGAAAAATACCAAGAGAGAGTGAGAGAGAGCAGGAGAGCCAGAGAGTCCGTATAACGGTCTATGCCTATATAGCATGCGATAATTTTATTATTCTGCGCTCCAAGAAAACTACTGTGCCAAGAAAAGAGAGAGAGTGTCAGCGAGAGAGTGAGCGGTGCACTGCGTGGGGGGTAGAATGGCGTTGACCAGCGAACAACGAAAAAGGGGGGTGACCGTTGGAAAGAAGAAAGCTCTTGAAAGCTCTGAAAAATCTTAAACCTATTCTGAATCTTACACATTTTCCATTAAAATTCATGTCTTAACGCAGTTCGTTTCTCTCGAGATTGCCCTGCAAGCAGACGGACATCTTCATGATTTTTGTGGGACTAAGTTTATGCGAAGAGAAAGCAATGCTAAAGATATAAAAAATCGGGAAATGATTAGGTTTCATCCACAAAAATCCGTTAGTTGGAAATTTCGAATATTTCTCTGCAAACTTTTGAACTTAAACTCTATCCAAAAGCTTCTCATTGTAATTGACTCTCTGGGGGTTGAATTCTCTCCAACTAGCTCGCTCTCGCATGCGATAATTGCCTGCCACAGGCACGCACACAAGCAAGATTGCGGACAACAGGTTTGAGTTGGTTGCTTGAGCAGGGCAACATGTTGCAAATGAGTCAAGCTGCGGTACGTACTGGAGCAGGATCCAATCGACAAAACCCCGACCCGACCCGACGAACGACCGACTGACGATGATCATCATTAGCCTCACGCGAGGCTCGAATCACGCAATGCAATGCTCGGTATGGGATGGGATGGGATGGGATAACACCAGGGACAACAGCACCACACCACGATCGCCGGTTAGTAATCGGTTATTCGAGTGTTTTGTGATATATTGACAGCATTACGGCTGCAATGGTCGCGCATCATTAATCATAGATCCTTATGGGGTGATGCCTATTAATTTGAACGCCATGGAACAAAAGCCCATCCCAGGGGCAGCCAGCTCCTTCTTCTCCTGGCGGCACCTTAATGGTGTGAACACGCGGCAGAAACAAATTGCGAAACGACAACAGTTGGTCCAAGGGCACAGCCCAAGAGAGCGAGGGAGCGAGGGACAGTGATAGAGATAACCACCACCCGCTCTAAACAAAAGACAAAGCGACAGACACGCAACGAAGGACAACAGGCCAAAGCAAACAGCAAAAAGAGAACAAAAACAAAACAAACAAAAAAATCATCGTAAAAAAAAGTTACACGCCTGCGCAGCGGGTGGCGCTCACATGTAATAAAAACAGTGAAAGAGAGGGTGAGATAAAGTGAAAGAGATAGAGAACCTACTCACATATCGAAGCTTTCGATCAAATTGCCTATCAGATGGCCAGATCCCAGGGTCCCAGGTCCCAGCCCCAGGTCCGTGGATCCCCCCCCCCCAGTGTGTGTGTGTGTGTTGAAAAATTCATTTTAATAAGCGCCCGTAAAATCCAACCCGCGATATCTGAGCAATAAATAAATGACAATTATGAATTGTACCCCCTCCAAAAGCCCATCCCAGTCCAAGGCTTACTCTTAGCCATTTTCCATCTGGAGATCTCTAGATGGAGATGGCGATGAAGAAGCGGCGGCGCCCTACGTGGAATGCAACTCTGGTGCCTGGCTGTGGCAGGGCTGTCATCGTGCCAGGGCATTAATTTGTTGTTTATCGCACCTTGTTAAAAACCTATCGAGGGGGAGATTGCAATGCGATGGCGATGGCGATGGCGCTGGACACGGCTGTGACACGATTCGAATTCCACAGATACCACTTTTGGCAACGGACAGATAAACAGCAAAAGTTCAACCTTATCTACGAAATCTATATAAATAATAAATATACATAATTCCATAAAAATACCATTTGTTTTGGTTGGGCTTATGTTTTATGCGGTAGCTAAAAATAGATAATATTTATAGCTGGTAGTTGGGCTTGGTCTTTATGACAAACTCAAACAAGAGACACATACATATACATATATACATATGTACATGCCTTTGATATATATTTCTGATAACGTTTGGGGGACAGGAGCAATGGAACAACTCAAGATAAAATTTTTGGCATTCCACAATTCCAGACAATAGACTACTGAGATTTCTCAGAAATGAGTATCTAATCAACAAAATTAAAATATGATTAAGCTAAAAACACGATTGTGTCTCTTATTCGTGAAATCTGTCAAACTTTGGACCCAAAACTTAAATATAAATCAAATATGATTATTAATAAAAATGTGCAAGGCAATGATACTTATCGAAGAGACACGGGCACGGACACGGACAGCATACAAAACGCCATTTATTTACCCAACGAATTCCGCAGGCAACGCCACTCTTTTCAGGCACTTCACATTGCCTTTTTTTTTTTTGCAATTGCGCGTACCGTACCAAAAATGTCAACGAAAAGAAAACAGCAAAAAAATGGATTTAGTTTGGAGCAAGACCACTTGCTTGGGGCTAAACACTATGTACCCTAACAAAACAGATATATAGGCTACAGTAGGAAGTTTGTGGGTTAGAGAAGGAACCACTTTTAAGCCTATAAAGGATATGGATAGTCTACAGAAGCTTCACTTTACTATCAAGGCATAAGAACAATAAAGAATCTATGCTTTTCTCAATGAAGGATTGTTCAATATTGCAGCTGCATCAGCTTTAGGGATATTCAAAGTACTTTTGATGATCCATTTGAATGAAATAATTTTCAAATGATGTTTTTGTAAGTAAGCTGCCTTTCCCAACATATAAAGAATTTCCTATAAATCATTATTATCCTCCATGCAATTAACCCTCTGTTAAATCTCGTCAGAGTATCCCTCGCTTCGGCTCTTTACAGGCCCCACAACAGTTCGACGCTTGTTTTTGTCAAATTCCATGCGTATAATATTTTTTTTCCACAATTTTTTCCAGCTCTATCTGTATTTTCATATTTTCTGTACAAGTTTATAGCAGTGCCTGTTGATTTATGCAAATTATTAAACGTTTTCTAATAACTCATTATGCCGCGTAAACAACGTGCCGCATGACTTGACAGTCCCCATGGATGTGGCACCAGACAGAGACAGAGATAGAGAGACTCTATCTGTAAACCAGAGTCAGAGAGTCAGTGTTCAGGCAACTACGGGGCAACTACTGTTGCGTCTTTTAGTTAACGTTTTTTTGTTTTCTAACACTCGTTTTCTTGTTGTTGTTTGTCGTTGTTGTTTTTGTTGTTGTTGTTGTTTTTCCGATGTTGGCTGTCAGTTTTCGCATATGTCTACCGCTGACTGGCAAAAGTTTCGTAGCGCTTAGCTAGATGTCAACTTTTTGGCATGCAAATATGCCTTTTGTCCATTTCGTTTCGTTTTGTTTTGTTTTGTTTTTTATTTTCTATGCCTGGTAATTAGGTAAATATTTTGCCT